GCTGTGACGTAGAAATAGTGTTAAGCGTACTCGTGAAGTGCGATATTATATTCAATTTTGTGAGAGTGTTACAATATTGTGTTAATCATACTGTCTTTTCTGTTAATTTATAATAAACATTCTTACATTAGTTTCTTAATAATAAATGGATTAAACAGGAAACAATGGTTATTTAACATGAACTAATCGTAACAACGTATTATAATTAATTAACAACTCTCGCAACACAGATTCAACTCTCTCTCAACAACATACTCTCAACAACATACTGCCGTTAATTCGTTTATGTCTCGTAGCAACCCTTTGTCTTTTGTCTGATATCTTTTGTTTAAGCCCCATCATGCACACGCTCAGCAACCGCTCGTTTACAATTCGCACGACACCCCCTAGGCCCACCCGTCCACGATACTACACAACTATTACATCGTATATTATTTTTATTATTTTATTATCGTTTTTTTCTATTACTCTGTGAAAGCATTTCACAAGATGTTCATATTGACGCGTTCGATATTTGTTTTGTTAAAAAATTCGCAGTTATAGATATTTTTTATTTATATACGCGAAAGTATATAACATTTTTACTAATACTGTCTTTTTATTATTTAATTCTTTTGTTACTATTATTAACTTATTGAGATTAAAATAATCGTAAGTGTAAAGGAATCGAAATAAATTTCGGGACTGTAGATCGTTACCGAAAAAGATATTATCTACATACAGGTACGTTTTTAGAGGGAGATCTAGCTAAAAGCAGATACCGCGAATTGATAATCTGCCATTTTTGGGGGGGTAAATACGTCCAACAACCTAATCAAAATAATAACATTAAGCTATTTCCCATCAGTATCCGCCAGTTTTATAAATATACGGGAGAAATAAACTTTTTCGGAAATCGATTTGACATAGAAAATTCGATTTGGAATATTATTAATAACGTGATCCTTTTAACTTTATTGTAATTTTATTGGATTCTAAGATTGAAACCACAGATTGAAATTAAAGAACGTTAACACAGTTTTCTATTAAAATAGAAGCTTGTCACAGTTTTACCAGTCAAGTGTCGAACAGTATGTTGTTCTGAATCAAATTCTGGATAATCATCAAATTTTACCCTCTACTCGCAGTACGCAATTGGCAAATAGTTTATCGAACTTTACAGTACTTCAAATCGGTAATTAAGCTTTCTCTCCTCGAAATTTCCCGAGTAATGCAACCCCTGTCAAGCCAGCGAATTAATAGGGTGGCGGTCACCAAAACGCAGCACGGAAATATTACTTTTACAAACCGAGTTAAATGGAATAATTAAAGTGGCGCGTGTCGGTGTTTTGATTAGGACGTTCGTGCATACTAATATTTAGCGACGTGCCAGTTATAAATTCAACGGTCAATCGGTAAAGTAATTCCGGTTGCGATTCAATCGCAACTTTAATTGAAATCAGATCGACGTAATTGGATAAATTAAACGTTGATTAATGCGTGTATCGTGACTAACGATCGCGAATCGCCAAAATTTGTGTTACCTAATATCTGGATATACTAGAAGGATGTATGTACACATATGTCTGTTGAATTTTATACAGCGAAAACCTCACGTCGATCTTTTTCCTTTTTTTTTTCTCTTTCGATGGTTCCGTTTCGAAATGTAAACCAGGTTATAGGAAAAGGTACGCGTGGTTTTCTCGGTTTCCGTGTCACCGAACGTTTTTACGACGTGCGAGCTGAAACAAAGTGGACCAGAAGGTACAGATTAAAAATCTCATTGAGCTTTTTCCACGTGAAAAAGGAAATTGAGAGAAGGCAACGTTTGAGAAATAATGTAACAAACGTTGATTGGAACGCAGAAATTGGGAGAAATGGATGTTTGCGATAAAATTGAGCGTGTTTTAAATAAATGTAGTCTGGATAAAGTTAATTAATTGTACCGAGATAAACCCAGGTTTATGAAAAATTAATCATACGCTCTGCCGCTAAAAGTGAAAAATTCAAGTTACAGAGTGAAGTTGCTGAAATTACTGTAACTTTGTTGTTTAGAAAATATATATTTGAAAACTTACTTACGATAACTATGGAGAATTATAAAACGTCCATATTAAAAATTGTATTCCATCCTGATATATTCCGAAGCTCAATCAGATTTATGCTAATTTTAATTCCACTAAAAGCAAGTTAAAAGTTCGATATATTTGACAAACAAATAGAAGCGCCAGCCGTTTTAACTAAATTAAATTTCTCAATTCGTTCAAAAGGAAATGTCGATCGGAACGTACAAACATATTAAGAGCCAGACGCTAGCTCATAATTGCCATTTCTCAGACTATAGAAAAAAATTCGAAAGAGAGAAACGGTCCATTACCATGTGAGTAACAACGTTTCTCGTTCATCGGATTTTCACCTCTCCGCGAACAGCTTGCGGCGCAAACGAGTGGCCGGGGCTTAAGGCTATGGGTTTGAGCGAGACGCTTCCGTTTTCCATCTGCCAGTTCTCCTTAATCGCAGCGAGCCATAACAGTATCGTAAATGCTGGATACACCTAGACGAAGGCTCGATTCTGCAACGTTGGAAATGGCCACGCCGGGATTTTCGTCGATCCTCTAATTCCTCGTTTGGCTACATAGTCTGCGGCGTATTAGCCGAGGAAGACATCGAAGCGAAATTAAAAGTAACATCCGTGTTGTTAACACTGCCTGCGTGGTTTATTCGATTCATTTCGCTGGGAAATTTTAGGCCGTGTAATAAATATACTGCGAATATTTAAGCAGAGTTGTATTTTCGTACCCATTCGTAAACAAATCAAACTCGAGGAAAATAGAATATCTTGGCTTTTAAAGGTTGTAAAATATATTTTACTTCTAATGTTTCGCTAACTTTTTGCATTTGTCCTTGTTTTTATATATTTTCGTATATTTAGGCGTACTTGTTACAAATACATAAAAATTCGCAGTATAATATTAGGTAAACACGTTTCGCTATTAGCTGCATAGTGACGAATTATAAATTTCGTAACATCCACTGCATAGAAAATAAAACGTAATATTTAAAAAAAAAACAAACTAGCTGTTTATAATTTAATTCAAGCACCTTAAGACCAGATTTCATTTCACTTGTTTATTTACCAGAAAAAAAGTACAGCATCGTAGCAACTAGAATTTTGTTTGCCAACAAACTGAAGTATAAAACATCGAAAGAGATTCCACTAACAATAAACGATTCATTAAGCACTTCTCTCTAAAAAGAAGCAGTTAAATTCGCCGGTATCGATAATCACAAGAACCGAGAAAAACTCTCCAAAAAGCTATCAACCTTCTGCACGTTATTTCACGAAGCAGGCGAATGGTTTTCTCTAAAACCTGTTTGCGCGATTCGTCGTGCTTAAGAGTTTGAAACAGAAAGTAACCAATACCGGTGTACGTGTATGTACGGTATCGCAAAAATCTGGAAAATCTGCAAACAAACGCGTCAGCGTCTCACGGTTCGCGCAAAGATACGCCAGTCGCCGGCTTAAGCCGGCACTTTATTAGGTTAATTCAATTTAAAGTTCCGGAAAGTGCGTAGACAGAATGCTGGAGGAACTTTATATGGCAGAGGGTATAAAGTTCTCGGCTTTTATCGCGGAAGGAGACCCAGCTGGGAGAAAGAGGAAGAGAGCGAAACGAGCGCAGGAATGTTTCTTCTCGACGTCCGCTATGTACGGTCGCGGCAAGTTTTTAATTTTTACACCCGACGCTCCTATCGTCGCCTCACCAGCGGCCGCCCTTGTCGTTTATGAACTTCCGTCTCAGAAGCTGCCGAGTGACTTTTTGTGTCACGAGCTTTCACGAGCCCGGCGAGCCTGCAATATTAACAAATTTTCCGCGGAAATTCGTCCCCGATGTGCGATTTCTGTGAGATCAGCCGGGGACAGAAGAAAGAGGGGTAAGAATGGGGGAATTCGTGGGAGAGGGGACGTGAAACAGGCAGAGCCCTTCGACAAAGTTGAGCGTCGATATCATGCCAGAGGCATCCCGAGGCGGGTTGAAACTTTTAACGCGTCTTGAACTCGGCTCCGCACGAAGAAAAGGACGCGATGCTCGAGCAGAAATCGAGTTTCCAGAGAAATTTCGCCTGGTATGTCCATTTCTCCTAAGCTTCTGCCGTCTCTTTTTTACGCGTTGTCGTCTCGTTTCGCCGGCAAATCAGTCATATTTCATGAATTCTTTGCGACCAGGAAACGTCGTTCTTTCGGTCTTTTTGCTCTTTGAATATGCTCGAGAGTCTTTTAGCTCGAAAGCCGTGCTGCCGCTGCTGCCTCCACGACAGTCCGAAATGTCAAATGAAAACGTTAAGCGACGAGGAGAGCGGAGTATTTAGGCGAAGCTTGCGAGTTAACACGGCCTAGCTACCGAAGCTGTGAAAGTTAATTTTACGCGCTACAGGATGTACGCGTAGTCTCGTGAAATGCGTTTGCGAAAGCCTCGCACTCCGTGAAAGAAATATTTCTTTTTTAATACTAAACCCGTTTTTTTATTAGAACAACAGCGCGTCTCTCTATTAATTTATTACGTTTTACTCGTTAACACTCCGTTACTTGTTGATATTTACTGTACAATGCGTTCGTTGGAGAATTAATTGTTTACCATCGTACGTAGCCTTAAACTCGAAGCAGTCCTTCCAAATTCAAACATTTACACGCATTCTATTAACATCGCACACCGAAATCTAGTTCGTACATTGTGCTCGAAGCAAAATCAGATCTCAAAATCTGTCAATCTGATCGAGAAAAAGAAAGCAAAACGGAGAGAATCGACTATTTCTATTTACCTCATTACCATAAACGATCGAGCGAAACAACCACGTGGAACAACGTACGCACACACTCACACAAGCACACAACCTTTTGCCATATTAATTTGACAGCTACCTACTTCAAAATTCAATTTCAGGATTCTCTTGTCACGTGGCGTCTGGCCACTTCATATCGCCTGTTTTTTTTTTTTTTTTTTTTTTTTTTTTTTTTTTGGACGTTACATAAAAACCAGCCGACGAAAAGTATATTCGAGCGTTGCGCAATGTTAGAACTCTCGAAGGAGCAACTTACATTCTCGATTTTCTCGTCAAGCATCTTGAAGAAGTCGAGTTGGCTGGTGGATATCTCTCTGTAAAGTTGAAAAATGATTAATTCGTAAGTTATTCCGCGGTCGTTTTAAAACGATACTATATGTTTCGTTTGTAGCGACAATTTAGCAGGTACGCGAATAATATATTACGCGATCGACAGAAATTGGAATATATACGGGCGAATCTATCGAAACGTACGCTTGTTGCAACAGAGGACCGCTCCCAGGTGCGTTCGGCTTCTTCTTGGCTTGGTTCTTGACCTCGCCAGAACCATTTTGTTCCTCGTTTTTGTTCACCTCGACCCCATTGTTATTCGTTTTGGAGTTCCAAAAACAGTTTTCCAATAAAATTGCGTTCTAGCAAAACGCCAACGGTTCCCAACCGTTTCACAATGGCAAGAAATCAACTGGTGCGCGTTTCCTCTCTGGCTGGAAAATTAATCGCGACCACGGAGCTGCCCGCTTAAGATGGGATTGTAACGTCAAGGGGTTGGCTACGTGCAATTCTGCTTGGGATACGAATACGCGAGGAAAGCCTGGGCCGGATGTTGTCCGCGCCCCGGCCATCATGTAACTGTCGTTGCTGATAGCGGCGTTGTTACCGTTGCCACAATTTCCAGCGTGTTTCACCGTTCAACCGACGCGCTGTGTTTCCCCATTGCAGGGTTAAGCCGCCCTTTGACCGAGGATCCGTTAATAGTTCGACCGTGTATCGTTATGATCTCACTCTCTCCTCCCTCTCTCCTCTCTTCTCCACGTAACCTTCGTTACTCTCCTTGTTGCTGGAACTATAACGACAATTACGTTACTTCGTTGCTACGTTCGATGCGTTTCGTGCGAGCCTGATGCGCGTTCATTTTTCTTTTCTCTCGACGATACTACGATAACGAGATGCGAGATTCGAAGAATCTGATGGAGAAGATTTGGAGCAATTCCAGATATTTAAAATATTTGTAGTTGACGATGGTTTGTAGCGTAAGTTGGAAGAAGTTTGATGTTTCGATGATAATACGCTATAACGGGGTGCAAGATTTTAGGAATCATGGAGAAACAGATTTATTTATTTATTTATCTCAACGAGTAATTTTTAACATTTGAAATCTATGAAGTTGGTGCACGTAGATTGTTAGTTCGGAAGGTAAATTGAAACGAGGTTTTAACGATAGTAACGTAACAAAGTGGGAGATCTAAAGCATCTGACAGGAAAGAAGAGTTTAAGCAGTTGCTAATATTTGAAATTTTTTGAAGCAGAAGATGTAAATGGATAGTTTGGAAGGTTTGCGCTTGACGTTCTGTTGCCCGAGCTGCAGTCGAGTGTAGAATTTATCGATTGGGGAATTACACGGTGATTTATAATGATCGACAAATTCCGCGTTATGTTGTAAAATACGATAGCCCTGTCGATGTTGGTAATTACAAGATTTTTTAGTTTTATACTTTTGGTAAGCTCGTATGTAATTAATTTTATCGTGTCGATCTCTCGCGTTGAAATGTGAAATTTTTAATCCGTATATATCAACTGATGAATTTGCCGTAATAAATCAAGAGATATTTTTTTACAAATACAAAGATACAAACTGTCCTTATATCTATGTTTCGATGATACAGAATTCACACGTATAAATTACAAAAAATCTAGATACTAAAAGAAGCGTTTTCAACTTTTAACACAAATCCTGTCCATGTCGTACGAACGTAACCGTATAGTCTCGGAGACTTTCATAAATCACAAACGACCACGAATGACCACACACGCTATCGCTCATAAGGGTTTGGACACTTTGATACTTGTGGTAATATATAATGCATATATGAATTTTATCGAATTCTTAAACCGACAGCAAATTCACTACTGGAAGCGATATTTTTTATTTTCTTATGAAATATACCAATTATACTCGTCAAGGATGTTTGTCTTTGTATCGGTAAATGAAAAATGTTTCGATTTATAATTGAAAAAATTAAACGACCCGAAGATAGAGAGCTTTTCGAGAACGAATGTTCTGGAAACTTCGACAAGTGCCAATTTTATTATCGTGTACGTAATAGATTTCAAGAATCAATTTATATAAAATATAATATTTTACGATGTCTACATATTTAATTAAAACGATGATAAGGAACAAAATAACTACAAATATATTTCCATAAATTCATAATTGAATTACATTTTATGGAAGAAAAATAACTAGTATACTTTAAACATATCCATATTTTACACGCTAATATACCAATAAAATATTTATAATACCAACACTAATATTGTATAATACTTGCATATTTCAACAGTAACAGCGTTTAGAATAACGTTCTAATCTCTTAAAGCGTCAAATATGCTTGGTGTAGCTGCGCTAATACGTTCGTTGTCATAACACATTAATATCCATACGATTACGTTAACGAATTTCAAAGATGGGCGATCCATTTGGCATCACAGCTCTAAACACAGTTGTGAAATGAGTAGCGTACAGTTAAACGCTCGTGAAACGAAAGGGAAAGTCCGCAGCGGAGCGTTGCGTCTTCAGGGTTATAGTTGTTCCATTTCCCGTGGCGGTGGCTACTGAAACTATAACGACAACCGCGCAATTCCGGCATCCTGGTCGACATGCTTTATTTGACCTCCTTCTCCTCTCTGCTCTTTGTTCCCTCGGCGCATCGATCGACGACGCAAAGAGGAAATATACGTATAAACCGTGCACGTAGACGCGTTCAGAACGGCGGCCATGGAAATTGCGTTTCCTGCGCGGCGATCGGCCAATGGTTTAATTACTAGTCTCGATATATTCCTCGATATCGCGAAATCAGAATGGAATAGACCGGGTGTCGCGCCCATGTACATTCGGCTAGTCGTTATCGTCCGTTATCTGATACGAATATTTATCGTAAATAATAAACGTTCATATTCCCGGCCCACGTACCGCGAGGACACGCGATAATTCAGTTTCGCGATCGATTACGAGAACGACGTTCGCTATTTCTACTTTGTACGAAAGGTTTTTCTGTATACGAGTGGAGCGAAATGGTAAAAAGGATGAATCGTAACACAGGCATGAGACACAGAGAGGAGAAATCAGCCAACCAGGAGGAAAAAGCAATAATACGTCGCGGTCGACGTACATACGTTCGTCAAGAATCAATTGTCCTCTGTGCACCCGTAAGATGCATAGCCGTGTATCGAGTGCCTATGGAAATTGCGTTTTCATATACAGACCGATCGACCGTTGGTTTAATTATCGGGCCAGCTATTTCCCTCGATACCAACACCGGTTAGTAGTCGATATGAAATGGGTCGAGGGTTCGCGGGAACGTGGCAATGAGGAAGCCCGCCTCCTTGCAAATTTAATATCCGCTTGTGAATATTTATACGCGATACATAAAAATTCATTCGAACGAAGATTCTACAAAGTTTGAAAGACACGGTGAGCGAATCGATCTGTTCGATTTCATGCTGGTCTCCTTTTCACTCGGCATCCTTTTGCGTTTCGAGTGCAGCTTCGTATCGGAGTCTTCCGACAGACGAGACACACACGACCGTGTAACTTCTCGATACTCTCGCTGCAATGAACAAATCGTTTCACTATAAATGCATTGAATTTCTGTGTGGCTAGATACAAAAGAAATTCAAATTTTAATATAGAAAACATTTAATTATTCCGTGACTGTCTCTTAGATCCCTGGAAAGCTAAATTTCAAAGTAAGCGAATACGGATATTCTATGGTACAATATCGTTCGGGTAACGCGAATATAAGCAAAAAGTCGATATTAAAAATCCAACGGAAGCACCATTCGGTTCCAATTAAATATTTTCTTTCGCTCGCCTTTAAATTTCTTCCGAGACTTTATAGCCCTAATACTTATCGATGAGAACGTATACAGGCAAAATCGATGCTTATCGTTTCATCACGATGAAAGCATCCACGTAATACGACGATAATTTAATAAAAATAACGCTGTGGCGAAGTAGTTCTCTCGGGCTTCTTTCGCGAAAGGCTTCCATTAAGGGGGTGCTACGACGAACTTTCATCGTATACGCAACGTCAATGCGTTCTACGCTCTCGTTCGAACCAAAATGATAGTTTCCAACGACAATCTGTGCTCGAGTCAAAGCGGCTTGTTAACGTCGACGAGCGTGCATCACGTCCGTGTACATCTCTGCTTGTCAACGTTCATCGTCACGAGAAACCGGCACGAGGAGGCCACCAATTAGCTGCGTAAATCTTCACGCTTTCGGATATCCGGGAATCGTGCGTTAAAGCTGTTGCAATTAGCGGTGCCAATTAAAAACGGAAATGCCACCCTCCGCCGCGGATCGCCGATTCGTACGCATTAAAATCCACCGAACGGAGCAACGGTTAGCTGCCGAAATATTCCGCGTCGAAAAGTTGCGCGCTGAAAACTTCGGTCAATTATTAGTTATCAGGACACACGGCGGTTCGCTTGGAACGACTGCGTGCCAGCTCGTTGCAATTATCGCAATTATCGTGGCAATGTGGTTTTGCGTGTTTCGCGAGAAACATCAAGAGGGGCGAGCGACGGCTGGCTTGAATTTTCTCCTCTTTATTCGAGGCGATTTTCAGATTTTCCGATTTGGATAATATTACGTATAGTATTATTGGTATACATAGCGTATGTTTGCGGCTTGATGTTACAGGAAAATAGATATCGATGAAATCTGATATAATTACTGGGTAATTTTGTGCAGTATCTGGACGTTTGCCTATTTTTCATAGGATGTGTTTTAATTACGAGAATAAGAGCTTGGCTGAAAAATAAATCCCTTCGGACGTTAACCGTAGAAGAATGTTTCCGAATATTAGAATTTCAAAATATTCTGAAGTATTAAACGCCGTTAACACATTACTGCTGCTTGAAATTTACTTAAACGGAGTTATCCGAGAAATGTTGCGTTGGATTGGAGTATTTGAACTTCTTCGACTAGAGAACAAGTTTCGTTTAACTTCTAAATTGAAAACGTTCTAATTGAGGACGTTTCTGGAAAAAGGTCCCATAAGTCGAGACGGCGAATCGAGTAAATTACGGCAGAAATTTTCGCGGTTATCGAGCAACAGGAACAAAAAGCCTTTTTGGACAGTTAGCTAAGAACGACTTGCCGAAAATGGGCTCGTAACTCTATAGAATCTTTTTCCAGAAACGTCATCAATTATAAAATAAACGTGGGGCCAATGTGAAAGAAATTAGCTTTATGTTAAAATATACCAAGAAAGTACAATAGAAAAATATACTTACTCATTGTCTGATATTTAGGCGATCGAATGAAATGGATTCCACGTGAAAATAGATTTGTTTTATTACGTGCTGCA